GCACGTGGCCAACCATGGCCCAGATAATTTTCTATATATTTTTTGTTGGCCAATTAATTTCTTTCTATTTTTAGTAGAGAAGGGGTCTCACTCTTGCTCAGGCTGGTTTTGAACTCCTCACCTTGAGTGATCCGCCCGTCTCAGCCTCCCAGAGTGCTAGGATTACAGGCTTGAGCCACCGTGCCCGGCCCCTAGTGATGTTTTCTTAAACCGACTGTTAGGTTCATGAGTATTCATCATACTTTATAACTTATTCATCATACTTTATACATATACTTGTTTCTAGGTATCAAATATATTTTAAAAGACAATGGAGGCCGAGCGCGGTGGCTCACGCCTGTAATCCTAGCACTCTGGGAGGCTGAGGTGGGCGGATGGCTCAAGGTCAGGAGTTCGAAACCAGCCTGAGAAAGAGCAAGACCCCGTCTCTACTATAAATAGAAATTACTTGGCCAACTAATATATATAGAAAAAATCTAGCCCAGGCATGGGCCCAGCCTGTAGTCCCAGCTACTCGGGAGGCTGAGGCAGTAGAATAACTTGAGCCCAGGAGTTTGAGGTTGCTGTGAGCAAGGCTGACGTCAGGGCACTCACTCTAGCCTCTGCAACAAAGTGAGACTCTGTTTGAGGTTGCTGTGAGCTAGGCTGACGCCATGGCACTCACTCTAGCCTAGGCAACAAAGCGAGACTCTGTCTCAAATAAAAAAAAATAAAAAGAAAGAAAACATCACTAGGACCATTTCATATACCCATACCAGAAGTAAAGGTCTCTCCTCTCCTGAATTTTGTGCTTATTTCTTTTTGTTTAAAAGGAAATAATTTTGGCCCGGTACAGTGGCTCACGCCTGTAATCCTAGCACTCTGGAAGGCAGAGGTGGGAGGATCGCTTGAGGTCAGGAGTTCAAGACCAGCCTCAGAAAGAGCGAGACTCAGTCTCTACTAAAAAGAGAAAAAAATAGCTCCATGTGGTGGTGCAAGCTTGTAGTCCCAGCTACTCGGGAGGCCGAGGTAGGAGGATGACTTGAGCCCAGGAGTTTGAGGTTGCTGTGAGCTAGGCTGATAGCTCGGCACTCTAGCCAGGCAACAGAGCAAGATTCTCAGAAAAAAGAGAGAGAGAGAGAGAGAAGGAAAGAAAGAAAGAAAATGCAGAATCTCAGGCCCCATTCTTGACCTACAGAATCAGAATCTGAACTTTAATAATACTGAAGCTTGTATGCAAAGTGACAACACCCTGAGAAATGTTGCATAGAAGACATCACACTGTATGGAGTTTATTATATGTGGCTGTGATTACAGCTTTTTTTCTATTGCATAACATTCCATTGTTTGACTATTAATACATTTTCCTCTTGGATTTTTTGGAAGGACTATTTTTAGCAGCACTGCCATTAAAAATCTGTACATATCTCCTGTTGCACATATGTAAATAGTTTATAGTGTACTTCCTAGAGTAGAAAATTACTGAGTTGTAAAGCATATGCATGTTCAACCTTGCCAAATTGTTTTCCAAAGGGATTATATACTAATTTATACTCCTTTGGGAGTGTATGAGTTCTCTTTGCTCTTCATTCCCACCAATGCCTGGTTGTTAGTTTAAAATATTTTTGCCAATCTGATGAGTGTGAGGTGGTATTTCATTGTGATTTAAATTTGCATATTCCCTGATGCATATGAATTTTGTATGTATTTCGTCCTCCATGAAATGCTTTTGTCTATTTTTCTTTTGCATTGTGTGGTAAGTAGAATAATGGCCTCCCAAAGATGTTCACCCAGAACCTGTGGCTGTGTTACCTTACATGACAAAAGGACTCTGCAGGTCCTTTGCAGGTGTGATTAAGGATCTTGAGATGGGGAGATTATCATGGCGGGTCCCCTATAATCACAAGGGTCCTTATAAGTGAATGAGGGAGATAGAAGAGTTAGAGATGTGATGATGGAAGCACAAGTCCAAGTGATGCAATTGAGGGTTCAAAATCCAAGGAATATGGGCAGCCTCTAGGAAGTTGGAAAAGGATTCTTCCCTAGAGAAGGAACATATCCCTGCTGACACCTTGATTTTAACCCAGTGAGACCCATTTTGGATTTCTTGTCTCCAGTACTGTAAGGTGATAAATTTTGTTGTTTTAAGCTACTAAATTTGTAGTAATTTGTTACAGCTGTAGTAAAAAACTAGTATAGGTAGTTTGCTTTCTTTTTTATTTTTATTTATTTTTTTATTTGAGACAGAGTCTTGCTTTGTTGCCCAGGCTAGAGTGAGTGCCGTGGCGTCAGCCTAGCTCACAGCAACCTCAAACTCCTGGGCTCGAGGGATCCTCCTGCCTCAGCCTCCCGAGTAGCTGGGACTACAGGCATGCGCCACCATGACCGGCTAATTTTTTCTATATATACTAGTTAGCCAATTAATTTCTTTCTATTTAGAGTAGAGACGGGGCCTTGCTCTTGCTCAGGCTGGTTTCAAATTCCTGACCTCGAGCGATCTACCCACCTAGGCCTCCCTGAGTGCTAGGATTACAGGCGTGAGCCACCGCGCCCGGCCAGTTTGCTTTCTTAAACACTGGTTTAAAGGTGTTTTTTATGTGTTCTGGATAGTAATCCTTAGCCAGTTATAAATGTTGCAAGTATCTTCTCCATGTTTGCACTTCTTCTGTACCCCTCATTTTTCCCCAGCCCCACTGCCTTCCATCCTCAGCCCTTGCTTAATTTGTCTGCAGCAAGACTCTTGGATAATTTCCTCTTCCTAGACAATAAACATAATAAATAAATAAATTGTATTTGTTAACAGGTGATAAGTGCTGTGAAAGAAAACTGAGCAGGATATAGGAAATAAGGAAGGCTTGGGGTGAGGATGGACTATTATTTTTAAAAGGGTATGTCAGGGTAGGTCTTACTGAGAAGGTGATATCTTTCAGGGGTAAGCCATGTGGAAATCCAGAGGAAGAGCATTTCAGGAAGAGGAAACAGTGCAAATGCCTTAAGATGGGAATGTGCCTGGCATGTCAGAGAGGAGCAAGAAAGCCATCTGGGCAGGAGCAGAGTGGGCAAGGAGGAGAGGAAGAGATTAAAGGGGGATCAGATGATACAAGGCTTGTAGGCCCTTGTAAGGACTTTGGCTTTTATGTTGAGTGAGATGGGGACACTGCAGGGTTTAGAGCAGAGGACTGACACCTAACTTACATTTTAAAAGGATCACTCTGACTGTTATGTTGAGAATAAACCATAAGGAGACACGGATGGATACCCATGAAGAGGCTGTTGTAGTGATCTAAGATGGTGGTTGGGACCAGAAGAACAGTAGTTAGATGCTGATGAAAGAATTCCAGGATATGAGAAGAGTCAAGAATTACTCCAGGCCGGGCGCTGTGGCTCACGCCTGTAATCCTAGCACTCTGGGAGGCCGAGGCAGACGGATTGCTCGAGGTCAGGAGTTCGAAACCAGCCTGAGCAAGAGTGAGACCCCGTCTCTACTATAAATAGAAAGAAATTAATTGGCCAACTAATATATAGGAGGCTGAGACAGGAGGATTGCTTGAGCCTAGGAGTTTGAGGTTGCTGTGAGCTAGGCTGATGCCACGGCACTCACTCTAGCCTGGGCAACAAAGTGAGACTCTGTCTCAAAAAAAAAAAAAAAGAATTACTCCAGTTTTTGGCCTAAGCAACTGGAAGAATGTACTCCCCATCACCTGAGAGGAAGATAGCTGCAAATAGAACAGATCAGATTTGGGGGTCCAGATCAGAAATTCAACTTTAGATATGTAGAATTGGAGCTGTCTATTAGACATCCAATGGAAAAAATATTCATATCATATATCTTTGGAGTTTTTTTTTCTTCTTATTGTTTTTGTTTGGTTTTTTTTTTTTTTTTTGAGACAGAGTCTCACTTTGTTGCCCAGGCTAGAGTGAGTGCCATGGCGTCAGCCTGGCTCACAGCAACCTCAATCTCTTGGGCTCAAGCGATCCTCCTGCCTCAGCCTCCCGAGTAGCTGGGACTACAGGCATGTACCACCATGCCCGGCTAATTTTTTGTATATATATTTTTAGTTGGTCAATTAATATCTTTCTATTTTTGGTAGAGACGGGGTCTCGCTCAGGCTGGTTTCGAACTCCTGACCTTGAGCAATCCGCCCGCCTCAGCCTCCCAAAGTGCTGGGATTACAGGCGTGAGCCACCGCGCCCGGCTGTTTGGGTTTTTTGAGAGACAGAGATGGAGTCTTGGTTTGCTGCTCAGGCTGGAGTACAGTGGCATGATCATAGCTCACTGTAACCTCAAACTCCTGGGCTCAAGCAACCTCTTCCATCTCAGCCTTCTGAGTAGCTAGGACTACAAGTATGTATCACTGCACCCAGCTAATTAAAAAAATTTTTTTTTAGAGATAGGGTCTTCCTATATTGCCCAGGCTGGTCTCAAACTCCTGGCCTCAAGCGATCCTCCTACCTTGACCTCCCCAAATCTTGGAATTAATAGGTGTGAGCCACCATGCCTGGCTCCCTTGAGTTTTTGAAAAAAAAAAAAAAGCTGGGCTGGAGGGAAAAGAAAGGGCATTACTGGCTTATAGATGGTGTTTGCAGCTATGAAGCTTGATGAGATCATCAAAGGAGTGAGTATAGATAGAAAAGACAAGAGGAACACTCCACTGTGGTCATTCTAATGTTAAGAATTATTGGATATTCCTGAATCTTCTCATGGTCAAAAAAAGAAGAAAAAAATAAAATTAATAAAATAAGAAAAATAAATATATAAAAGAATTATTGGAGAGAAAAGGATGAACCAGTGTGGTAGAAGGAAAACCAGGAGTGTATGGTCTCTCCAATGCAAGTGAAGAAAATGCATTCAGGAGGAAGGAGTGATCACTGGGTCAAATGCTACTGAAAGGTTAAAGTGAGATGAGGACTGAGAATAACCATTAGGATCCAGCAACACCAAGGTTACTGATGACCTTGACAAGAATAGGTGAGTGGAATGTGGGCATGAAAGGCTGGTTAGAGGGATTTAAGAAGAGAAAGGGAGGAAAGAAATTGGAGGCAGGCTGGGTGTGGTAATTCACGCCTGTAAACCCAGCACTCTGGGAGGCTAAGGTGGGAGGACCACTTAAGGTCAGGAGTTCAAGACCAGCCTGAGCAATAGTGAGACCCCGTCTCTACAAAAAATAGAAAAATTAGCTAGGCGTGCTGGCCTGCACCTACAGTCTCAGCTACTCAGAGGATCATTTGAGCCCAGGAGTTTGAGGTTGCAGTGAGCTCACTGCACTCTAGCCGTGGTGACAGAGCCAGACACTGTCTCAAAAGAGAAAAAAAAAAAGAAAGAAAAGAAATTGGAGGCAAGTGATGTAGATGGCTATTTCAAGGGATTTTGCTGCATAGTTGAGCAGAGAAATGGGGCAGTAGCTGGTGGGGTAAGTGGAGTGGAGAAAATATTTTTTTAAACATGTGGGCTGATATTTCCCTCAATACCCACAACTTGTTGGTCGACATTCCAGTCTATTCTACCTCTAAAAACCCTCCCAGATATTTTTCTCCCCAGCACATTACCCCTGCCCTACTTCAGGCCCTCACTCTTACCTGCATTCCTGCAGTGATAATTCAGTGTGTTCCCCAGGCTGCCTTGACAATCAGGGTCAGCCTGCACACCAGTGCCCACGGTTCTCCCCTGCTGACTCATTTCCTAAAAGATGGATACTGGATGCCTGAATGAGGGATGGATGATGTTCCTAAGTATGAATCAGGGTCCCAGCAGGAAAGAGAGAACACACCCCAATTAGAAATAGAATAACACTGAGAATTTAATAAAGGGACTCTTTTCAAAGGAATAGGCAGGGTGTAGGGAGATCACAAAGGTTAGTGCATTGTCCTGAGACTAGTAACTGTGGGACTCCGTCACATGTAAGCCTGAAAAAGGTCCTGGAGGAGAGGGAATAGGAAGATGTATAATGGCTTCTGGAAATGTCTGTGACGATGAAGAGTGAATTCTCCCACAAAAACCTGGAAATAAGAGTGGCTCCTGGGCCAGGCATGGTGGCTCACGCCGTAATCCTAGCACTCTGGGAGGCCGGAGGTGGGAGGATCATTCAAGGTCAGGAGTTCGAGACCAGCCTGTGCAAGAGACCAGCCTGAGCAAGAGCGAGGCCCTGTCTCTACTAAAAATAGAAAGAAGTTAGCTAGACAACTAAAAATATGTAGAAAAAATTAGCTGGGCATGGTGGCGCATGCCTGTAGTCCCAGCTACTCGGGAGGCTGAGGCAGGATTGCTTGAGCCCAGGAGTTTGAGGTTACTGTGAGCTAGGCTGATGCCATGGCACTCTAGCCTGGACAACAGAGCAAGACTCTGTCTCAAAAAAAAAAAAAAGAGTGGCTCCTCAGAGTCACAAAAAACCCACCCAGAACAGATGGAGTAAATCCAAGATGGTTGGTCTGTAAATGTGTCTGGAAACCAACTAAAGGCCATCAAAGTGGAGGCTGGGCACCACTCAGGGGGTGGGGCTGGACTGGGACTCAAGTTGGGTGAGTAGAAATCCCATTAGTTGTATTAAGGGAGCTAATAAAGGTAAAGTGTATACAAGTGTCTAGCATCGAGCAAGCATTAAGGAAGTAGATGCTATTGTTAAGCCCAGTTTGGAGAAAGGATATATGAACAGGAAAGGGAGGAAAATATTTAGGCACTAATCTTGGAGACACTGGGCAGAACGGTCTTTAGAATCCAGGCTGCCCTTATGCAGGGAACAAGGTTTCAAGGTGACTTGACTGAGAGACTTGTCATACCACCCCTTCTTTCCCTCTTAGGGGCTGGCTCCAGGCTCCCTGAGCTAACCTGGTAACTTGGCTTCCTAAGGGGCAGCCCAAACTGCCTTGACTTATTTATGCAAAAATTCTGCTTGACAGTTATTTCTCTGTGCAGATTAATTCTGGGGCTCCTGGGGTTTGTACACAAGCCTTTGTTCTGGTCATATGCCAGTTCTGCACAGGGAGTTGGATCCACTCACTGCACCAGTGAAATTGGGTTTGGAGCCAGAGGTGTGGGAACCATGCCTTTCAAAACAGCCAAAACACCTTCAGCAGCACCACCTCATGCCAGCTAATCTGCAACAAGTAGGTAGAGTGAGAGAGAGGGGAAAGGAGTTCTAGCTAGAGAGAGTAGACAAGGCTCTAGGGCATAGCTAGGAAAGGAAGCAAGGACTGAAGCCTTTGCCTCACCTTAGGCACCTGTTCCTCCAGGAAGCCTTCCTTGATCCTTGCTCCACCCAGGCTGGGGCAGGTGCCCTCACATGCACTTTTCATGGCACTGGTCACTCTGGGCAGAGGTCATCTGTCTAGTTGGGACAACACTTCTGAGCTTCTGGAAGGTAATGATAATGTCTTATTTGGCTTTGTAGTCCAGGGGCTGGTACAGAGTAGGTACTCAGTTAACGCTTCTTGAGTGCATGACTGACAATGAGACAGAATAGACAGATTAAGGACGGTGAACTGTAACCCCTCCTGCCTTACTGTGCCATACTCCCCAGTGCCCAGCACAGTGCGTGGCAGAATCAGGGCCCAAAGTGTTCCAGATATGCTGACCGACAGTCAAGGCCCCACCTGCTTCTTCTGGAATCTCATCTACTGGGCCGCCTCTTTCTCCTTGCTGTTGCTGACCAGGACAGAACATCTAGAACGCGCCCGCTGCGCAAAGCAACACGAACCGGGTCGTGCTTAGGTTTGTTTCTTGTCGCTGCAGATATAGGATTCCTTCCCCCTGAAGGAAGTCGCCCAGGGCAGTGGCGCTCCTGGTGCTGTGTGGCTAGGCGGCTGGTATCCCAGGACAGACTCCCGGGACGCGCAGGCTGCACTACCGCGGCGCAGTACGATCCAGAGCCGCGCCACGACCCCGTCCCGGCGGAGCAGTAGTGGTGGGTAGAAGGTGGGAATGGGGCGTCCGCTGCTGCGCTCCCCTCCGGCTGGCGCGTCTCTCCACGCACCGCGCCCCACGCCCGTCCGTGGCTCTGGCGCCCCGCTTGCAGCCCCGCGCTTTGCAAACTTTCGGAGTTTCACTCCACCTGCGTCACGGAACAGGCAGGAGGGTGGCGCAGTCCAGGAAAAGAGGCGGCGGCGGCTGGCGAGCTCCCCCGCGCGGCGCTCCTACCCCTGGGGGCGTGAGGTGTCTCCCGGCGAGCGCGGACAGGCTTTGGCGTGGAGGGGGCGGCGGTCTCAGGGACAAGTCCCGGAGGCTCTCGGGCCCCGTGCCCGCGGGCCGTCTCCTCCCTCTCGCCTGCCGACTGGCCGCGAGCAAGCCAGGCGCCCGCCAGACGGAAGGAGCGCGGAGGAGGAGGCGGGGGCCCGCCCCGGCGCCCCAGGCCCGCGGGGGGCGGAGCCGGCCGCTCCTGCCCAGCCCGGACGCACGGAAGTGCGGCGGAGTTCGCCCAGTTCCCCGGCCTGCTGTCCTCCCTCTCCGCACTCCTCACCTCCCCTCGGCTGCTCCCTCCTTCCTCGAGACGCCGCCTCCCCATCTCCTTTTTGTTTTGGAGCTGGCTTCCCGCTGCGGCGCGGGCCGGCGAGTGCGGGCGAGGGCAGGCCGGGCGCAGCCCGCGGCCCACCGGCCGGCCCCGGCGCGGCGCGGAGGACCGACGGACGCGCGGCCGGGCGCGCCTTCTGCTCGCCGGAGCTGCTCCGCAAACTACTGCTGAGTGTGTGCGTGCACGCGAGGGGCGGGGGCGGGGGCCGTGAGTCCCTGGTCCGGGGTTACTGCCCTCTGTTGGGGTTACCTTTGGACGGGGGCCCTTGGACTCGGATTGGAATTAGGCAAACAAAAGAGACCAGTCAGCGAGTGGCCAGAAGTCGCCCGAGCGCCTCGCCGCGCCCCCTCCTCCCTCCTAGGTGGGGGCTGGCCACTGGGGGGCCGGGAGAGGGCGACCGAGCGGCGGGGGGCGGCTGCGCAGCCTGGGTGGAAGTGTTGGCGGCCTGTTGTGTAAGCCTCAGTCCTTGTTTTCTCGGTCTGGCTCGTTGTGAAGCCGGACACATCCACCCTTGGACTCGATTCAAGAGGCTGCTGCTTTTCTCCTTGCCCCTGTTGGGTTTTCTGGATTTTTGAGAACCCAATGGCCTAGGAGGAGGAGGAGGAAGGAGGAAGGGGCAGATCTGCAGAGGAATGTGAGAGCCTCCCAAAGCCAGAGCAGCCAAAAGGAGCCGGGAGCCAGAGGGAAGGCAGAGCCCTGCTGCGTTTCTGGAATGGTGGTTTCCGAGTGATTCTCTTCTATTTTAGAACATTGTTCCAGTGGAAAGTGTCGAATTCTTGCCCTTGCAGAGCTGGTTTCTTCAGGTCACTTGACTGTTCTTCTGAAAGTGGGAGGAAAGAGAGACTCCTGGGACTCCCCCAGGCTGCAGAGGGAGGGAAGACGACTATGGACATGAGCCCTCCCTGCTCACAGGCATATGCCCAGAGACGTGATAGGGCAGTTTCTGGGCCATGGACATTGCTTTGAAGAGGAGCAGGCTGGACAGCATTTGTGGGTGCTGAGACCCCAAGCTGGGGGCAGAGTGACTGAGCTGTATAACAGGCATTGAGTTGCTAGTACATTCTTGGACACCCCAGTGAGCATCCTTGGTCTGGGCAGAGCTCTCTCCTTCCCATCTTTCTCTACTACCCAGACCAGCCATGGCGCTGAAAGGCCGAGCCCTCTATGACTTCCACAGTGAGAACAAGGAGGAAATCAGCATCCAGCAGGATGAGGACCTGGTCATCTTTAGTGAGACCTCACTGGACGGCTGGCTGCAGGGCCAGAACAGCCGTGGCGAGACGGGGCTCTTTCCTGCCTCCTACGTGGAGATCTTCCATTCTGGCCTCAGTGCCAACCATGCCGACTGCTCTAGCAGCCTCGAAGGATCTTTGGGCACTCAGGTGAGCTTGTACAACAGCTCCAGTGTGGCCAGCCCGGCCAGGAGTGGTGGGGGCAGTGTTTTCCTCTCAAACCAGGGCAGCTTTGAGGAGGAGGATGATGATGACTGGGATGACTGGGACGACGGATGCACGGTGGTAGAGGAGCCACGGGCTGGTGGGCTGGGCACCAACGGGCACCCCCCACTCAACCTCTCCTATCCTGGTGCCTACCCCAGCCAGCACATGGCCTTCCGGCCCAAGCCAGCCCTGGAGCGGCAGGACAGCCTGGCATCTGCCAAGCGAGGCAGTGTGGTGGGGCGCAACCTCAACCGTTTCTCTTGTTTCGTGCGCTCTGGAGTGGAGGCCTTCATCCTAGGTGATGTGCCCATGATGGCCAAGATCGCTGAGACATACTCTATTGAAATGGGCCCTCGTGGTCCCCAGTGGAAGGCCAACCCCCACCCGTTTGCCTGCTCTGTGGAGGACCCCACCAAACAGACCAAGTTCAAGGGCATCAAAAGCTACATCTCTTACAAGCTCACACCCACTCATGCTGGCTCCCCAGTCTATCGGCGCTACAAACACTTTGACTGGCTCTATAACCGCCTGCTACACAAGTTCACTGTCATTTCGGTGCCCCACCTGCCTGAGAAGCAGGCCACAGGCCGCTTTGAGGAGGACTTCATCGAGAAACGGAAACGGAGGCTTATCCTCTGGATGGACCACATGACCAGCCACCCTGTGCTGTCCCAGTATGAGGGCTTCCAGCATTTCCTCAGCTGCCTGGACGACAAGCAGTGGAAGATGGGCAAACGCCGGGCAGAGAAGGACGAGATGGTGGGTGCCAGCTTCCTGCTCACCTTCCAGATCCCCACAGAGCACCAGGACCTGCAGGACGTGGAGGACCGTGTGGACACCTTTAAGACCTTCAGCAAGAAGATGGACGACAGTGTCCTGCAGCTCAGCACGGTGGCATCGGAGCTGGTACGTAAACATGTGGGGGGTTTCCGCAAGGAATTCCAGAAGCTTGGCAGTGCCTTCCAGGCCATCAGTCATGCCTTCCAGATGGACCCCCCCTTTAGCTCTGAGGCCCTCAACAGCGCCATTTCTCACACGGGCCGTACCTACGAAGCTGTTGGTGAGATGTTCGCTGAGCAGCCCAAGAATGACCTCTTCCAGATGCTCGACATGCTGTCTCTCTACCAGGGCCTGCTCTCCAACTTCCCTGACATTATCCACCTGCAGAAAGGTAAGACCCAGTGCAGGCAGGCTGAGTCTGGCTCTCTGCTGGGTGCTGAGGATACCGGGGTGGCCTAGCAGAACAGAGTAGCTCATCTTGTCTCTGTCTCAGTCTCTCATTCAACGAGCGAGTCGAGTGTCAGCTATGTGGTAGGTACAGGGCATTATTGTGGACAGGCCTGCTCCTGACCTTATGGAGCAAGACGTCTGCCTTCCTGTCCGTTCATTCGTTTTCTGTTTCTGTCTCGTTTACCTGTTGTGTGTGGAGCCCCTTCAAGGTGTCAGGCTGGGGTCTGGGAACACAGAGATGACCAGGTCTCACAGGCCTTGCCTTTGATGAGCCCACAGGCTAATGGGGTACACAGACCAAGACCCAGTTAAGGGGAGTGCAGGGTGCGGGCCTACCTTCCACACCTTGCAAGCTCGCCTCCCTCCTTCGAGGCTCCAGGGCTGTGCTCACGGCTGTGTGCCCTATCTGTGCGGGAGGATCTCTGTCCCCATTTGCAGATGAAGGAGCTGGTGTCCATAGAAGAGTGTTGGATAGTGAGTCCGTGGCCCAGCTGGGACTGTCCTGTCCTCCTGCTACCTCCCCAGGGACATGTCCATGTTGGCTGCCTCCCAAGCCCAGCCATGTTTTCAGTTCTTATGACCCCTCTATGGGGGAGGGACAGGATGAGCCCTTGCCTGTTACTACTGGGCTGTCAAGGAACTGCCAGGGAAATGACTCATTCTGGGTCACACAAGGGCACCGGGCTGGGCCAGGGGAGCCGAACCAGGGGGCCAGGGCACTGCCACATGGCCTGTCCAACTCCCACTTCCTGAGCCTGGCTTCTCTTCTTACCTGAGGAGTGAGTCAGGGGCTGACCCAGCAGGTGGCTGAGTCCTGGGGACTACTAGGAGGGCAGATGTCAGGAGAGAGGTGTGGTCCTCCCTGGGGCTGCTTGGTAACTCAGGAAGAACGTCTGCAGGGCGTGGAGCTGGCTCCCTGCCCCGTAGGCCCTGAGGTCAGGCCTGACTTGGTGGGGAGTTTTACTCTGGGTGGGGCAGTAGGCAGACCTCTGGACTGAGCATGGGAGACAGCAGACATGCCCCACCACCACCAGGAGAGTCTGGGGTAAGCTGGCCCTGCCCTCCTCTACCTCCTTTGGAGGCTGACTTCTAGAACTCCTCCAGCTCCCATCCTCCTTTCTCCCTGCACTTTCTCCTCCTCTTCTTCCTCTCTTTATGCCCTAACCCCCCTTTTGTCCTTATCTCCACCTTTCTTCTTCCTCTTTTCAGTTTCAGGAAACACAAACCTGAGCTCTAGTCTTGGCTTTGGGGACAGAGTCCCCAGTTTGCGGTGTGTCCCTTGGAAGTGCCTTTGCCTTTCTGGACTTTAGTTTCCTAACCCACAAAGCAAGGAAAGGGGCCCCAGTGGGTTCTCAGGCCTTCAAGGGAAGAGTCGGAGGGGACTGCCCGGAGGGTCTGGCCCAGAAGCAGAGTGATGCCTCAGACCTAGCTCTGGGCCAAGGGAGGGCAGGGCAGGTAGTGGCAGCTGGGGGTGCATGCGGACAGGTGTCTCCCTGTGCGGAAGTGGGAAAGCTGGTTCAACCAGCTCCTCAGTGGCTTGTTCCTGAGTGGGCAGCAGGAGGCTGGGACACAATGGTGACGCAGCTGCCCCGTGCAGTGGCTGGGGACCCTCAGCAGAGCAGGGCGGAGGGCATAAAGGCAATCCCATACCCGGGGCACCCAGCACTCCCAGGCTCAGACCCGCCTTTCCGACCCTTGGACCGGGAGACGGAGCTGGGAGAGGCCATTTCTGGGTTTCCACTGCAGGTGTTTCTGGGAGTCGGGGTGCCGACCCTAAAGCAGAGGCTGCCCCCTGCCCTCGTCCAGTACAACCTGCTGGCAGGCCAGGCCCTTTGGGGCTGCCCCTTCCAGGCCTGTAGTGTGGGGCAAACTGGGAGAGGCTGGGAATCTGGCTGAGACAGAACTGGGTGGCTTTGGGGACCACAGCCCCACAAGGGCTTGGGGGGAGGGGTCCCAAGGTGGCTCTGTGAGTAGAACCGTTCTCAGAGGAAGGAGCAGGACAGCTACATCTTGAGTCCCCAGGATTCTGTCCAACTGTCTGGACATCTGAATGGGTGGCAAGTGTGGTGGGGATGGTGGGAGGAGGGAGGGCGGAGGCCCAGGTGGGGAGTTGGGAGACCAGGATTTGGACAGACTTTGCCTTTGAGATGACCTTGGGAGAGTCTCTATGTTAATAAAATGGGACATGAAGCGTGGCTAGAGCTGAGGCCAGGCCCCCAGCCTGGCCTGCCCACTGGCCCAGGCCTTGGAGCCCAGTCTAGATGTCTCCTAAGAAAAGGGTAACCCTATAATTAGCTGTCCAAACTGGGGCAGTTTTAGGGGTGAAAGGGGGCCCTAGCAGTTGTTATCACCGGGCAACAAGGGGAAAGTGACTGTCCAGGGCCAGCCAGGACCTATGCTCCCCACCTGAGAGCCAGCGAGGGCAGGGCTGAGACTCACACAAGTGGCGAGGTCGATGCCATCGCCTCCCTGGCAGATGAGGCGCGGTGAGGTGAGACGGCGCGCCAGAGCAGGAACCGGCCATGGCGTGTCTGACCCCACGGCCCAGGCTGTTCCACTGTACCAGGCATTTGGGGGCAGGGGCTCCCCGAGGGATGGAAAGCCAGGACAGATAAGCTAGAAGGGGAAGGAGGAGGAGCCAGGCTTGGCGTCCTTGGGCTTGCTCGGCTGGCATCCTCTATGGACTAGAGGCAGGCCCCGGACCATGGAGCATCTGTGGGCTCACAGCTTGGCCAAAGCAGAGTGGCCTTGTAGGCACAGGCTCTTGCCTGGGGACAGGTGGGTCAGCCTCTGTTGGTTCTGGGCCATCATCTAACTCTCCCTCTACCTCCCCTCCTGGGCTTCCATAAACAAAGGGAATAATACTGCCATGAGCCACCACCGCTGGTGCTTGCTGTGAGCTCAAGGGTAAAAAAGCAGTTTGCACAATGTAGCATGTAGCATCTTGAGCTCTTATGCGATCTCAGGTGAGGTCCTTGGTGCTGTATACAAAGTTCAGTTAAGCCTCAGCTATACCACAGGGCAGGTGCTGTTATTATCCCATTTTACAGATGAGGAAACGCTAAAGCACTATACCGTTGTGAGCAGTTGTCAACAGCATCACATCTAGTGCAACATGTCCCATTTGACACTGGGAGACCTGTAGTCCAGGTCTACAGGCTGGAAAGCAGTGGCTTGCTGGAGGGGACACAGCTGGGACATCCTGCCCAGACATCCTGCCAGACATCCTGCCCCAAACCTGGGGTGGCTGGGAACTACCTCTAAGAGGTAGGAGCAAGATGGATTGAGCTGGGAGCTTAGGGACTATGCCTGGGACCCAGGCCTCTGCAGCAACCCTCCTTTCCCCTCCTGGGACCTGCAGGAGAGCTGCCAGGACAGAAGGCTCCCTCGGGTCCTCAGCTCTCAGGTCGGGCCCTACGTGGAATGTAGGGATGCTGGACAGGCCTGAGCCTGACTCTCGGCCTGGTGGGTGGGGTGTGTTGGTGTTAGCTGGTCCTGGCCCCAGAAACTGAGTCACAGGGTAGAGAAGTGACAGAGAGCAGGGTGGGGACTCCTCCTCTCTCCGACCTCTGTGGCCTTTGCCCCCCCATCCCTGGCCCCTTGTCTGTCTGTGGATATATAGCAATTGGAATAGGTTCATTCCTACTACTTGGGCCAAGTCTTCTCATCAACAAAAGGGGCTTTTCCTTCCTCTAAGGCCATGGGCGGAAAAACCCTTGAGTATACAGATCCACCCCCACTGTACTCTGACTTTCTCGGGCAGGTGGAATCCAGGCTAGCTCAGCATCTGCCCGCCTCAGGGAGGTTCCTTTTGCTGAAGTTTAACTCGGTTCCTTTGTCCTGCTGTGTTCTACCTTTCCTCTTATGGTCCTTCCTATACCTTAGGGCCTTTTTGGATCCCTGTGTCCATTGTCTGGGGCCCCACACATATGCCTGGAGAGCCCAACATGGGCTCACTGCAGCAGAAGTGGTATCCACCCCCCAGCCACGGAGGGCCAGGCATCCCCCCCATGGGGCAGGAAGGAGGCTGGCAGCCACTAGGCAAATCCCTGCCCCCTCAGGGCCGTAGTGGCGTGGGGGTGTGGGTTGGACAGCTGACTTCTCGGGCCTCTCCAGCTCTGAAGTTTCTTCCTGGGTCCCATACTGGGCCTTGGGGTGATCCCCTTTCTGTTGCCCAGGGCTGGGCTGTTAGGATGGAGTAGGGGCAGTTCAGGGAAGGTGGCAGAAGGACTGGGAGTGGGCTGGGACCCGGGGACTGCACATTTCTTTTGGGTGCTGTATGTGCAGCCCCTGGAGACTCTGATCTTGAGTCTATCTGCCTGAAAGGCTACTATGAGCAATTAGCCGTGCACTTGCCAACTAATACGGGTGTTGCCCCTTCTAAAGACATCTGGAGTTATCTCTAGCATGTAGAGCCCTAGGCCTGGCATATATAGTAAGTGCTAAATAAATGCATTTTGAATGCACCAGACAACTTGTGTGAAAGTAAAAAGAATGCCATCTAGAAGCCCCCCTCGAGAAGTGGAGAGCAGGGGCAGCTTGCTGTCTGTGTGCAGTGGGTACTTCTGAAGTGCTCAGGTGTGTGCTGTCCCCCACGCCACCTTCCACCTCCTAGCCTTCTTGGCATAGCGGATCCCTGGAGTCAGTGCTGGGCACAGGCACACTGCCTCCTCTTCCAGCAAGTGTCCCCACTGGCTTAAAGGCAGATCAGTCAAATGTCTTTCAATTGAGAACTGAAATTCATTCACCAACTGCTTGTTGATTCATTCAGATTTTTCCAAATTTGGTCTCCTGCCCAGGTTCTTCCTCCCCCATCTGTCACCTGGTTATTACTAAAGCCTCCTCTAGGCCCCTGGGGGCTGGAGTGAGGAGGAGACAGCCAGGTGGCCTTGGAAGTGCACTGATGTGGGTAGGGGTGGGAGTGGGAGCCAGGGCAGAGGTGAGATGGGAGAGACTTCTGCCTGGGCGAGCGGGGGAGGCTCCCCTGTAGAAGCAGCACCTGATCGGGCCTTGAATTGTGAGTAGGGCTCTAGTGGGGAGAAGTAGGAAGGTAGGAAAGAGCAGGGTGAGTTTGACAGACATGGGGCCAGTGTGGAATGCACGCAGGGGCCGACTCCCAGAGGGCCTCCTGGCCAGGCAGATAGGCGTGGATCTTGATCTGCAGGCCATGGGGAGCCAGAGAAGGTGCCCAGATTCAAGGACCCTTTTGGGCACTGCAGAGAACTTCTCAGAGACTCCAGGGTGGGGAGGCCCTGGGTACCGTTGCAGCAGTACAGTGAAGATGGGTTGATACCTGTCAGGATCTGCTGTGCACCAGGCCTTTTTCTGGGTTCTAGGGACACGGAGAGGATGAGGACAGGCCCTGTCCTCATTGAGTTCACAGTCCAGAGGGAGACGGTCAGAGAGATCACGGGTGGTGAGAGCTGTGGTAGAGGGAAGCCCGGGGAACCTGGGAGCATTGGGCGATACCTAATGCAGTGGGGTGCAGGGAAGGCTTCCTGGAGGAGGCGATGTTTGAGCTGAATTAGGAGCTGGTGTGGGAGAGGATGAGGCCTTTAGTGGGTAGGGACAGGAAAAGCCCAGTCCTGGAAATAAATATGCCTAGCAAGTCAGATGTGGGCTGTTGGCGATGCTGCAGACTTGGAGGGAAGATGGTGTGTCTGGGTTGGGATGTCCGAGGGTGAGAGTGTGGGCAACTTCCTGGCAGACACCCAGGCGGCTGGACCTGGGTCTGGGGTTCAGGAGTGAGGTCTGAGCAGAGCTGATGAGGGTGTTATCTGTTCGTGGGGGGCGCAAGGAGGGGAGGAGCACATGGAGGGAGCCGAGCCCGAACCTGCTGTCCTCTGCTCTCCTGGGCAGGCGCCTTTGCCAAGGTGAAGGAAAGCCAGCGCATGAGCGACGAGGGCCGCATGGCGCAGGACGAGGCAGATGGCATTCGCAGGCGCTGCCGTGTGGTGGGCTTCGCCCTGCAGGCCGAGATGAACCACTTCCACCAGCGCCGCGAGCTCGACTTCAAGCACATGATGCAGAGCTACCTGCGCCAGCAGATCCTCTTCTACCAGCGGGTGGGCCAGCAGCTGGAGAAGACCCTGCGCATGTATGACAGCCTCTGACCACGTGTATCTGGCCCCTCCCCGCCCACGGGCCCGGTCACCGAAGTGTGCCCCAACCTCCCAATGTCCCTGTACCAGCAGTAGCTGGAGGGGCAGTCACTGGTGGATGAGGAAACAGCCTGTGGCCCCTCCTGGGAGAAGGAGCTTTCAAGGAGCCATGGTGCCCCTTAGAGGTGGGGTGCAGTGGGGTGAGGATGGGGCCGAGAAACTCCCAGTCCAAGGCCTGGGCTGCTGGTCAGTAAATGAAGGCCAGGCCAGGGGCTGAGCCTCCCCTAGAGCCTGCAGTGCTTACTCACCTGGCCACCACCCCTGTTCCTTCAGCAGACACCGAGGCCTGCTGTGGCCCTGGGTCAGACGCTGGGCACCCAGGGCTGCGATATGCCTGCCCTTGGGGAGTCCTCAGTTGAGGGGCAGACGCAGAAACAGACAGTGCAGCATGACCGATGGTTCAGGCAGGGCTTCCCGGAAACTCAGAGGGACCGCAGCATTCTGCCAGGCAGGAAGACCCCTCAGAATAGGTGATATTTGAGCGGTGTTTTGAAGAATGACAAGGACCTGCCAGACAGTAAATGGGGAGAAGGACATTCAGGGGAGAGGAACAACTTGGCAAAGGATGGAGGCACAGAAACTTCTCCCTCTTCTCTTTCTTGCCTTTCCTGAGCTAGTGCGGGGCCCTCCGTGGGGACTCTGGCCTGCGTGGCAGAGAGAAGGGCCTTCCTCGCTGGTGCAGCACTGGCGTCCTGCTCCGCTCTCCCTGTGGGAGGGCTGCAGGCCAGCTCCCGCCACGGCCTCTGGCTGCGCTCCACTGCTGAGCCCGCTCTTCCCTTGGTTAGAGGACCATGCAGCATCCCTCCATCCTGGGGCTCAAGGTGCTGGTGGCACCTTCCTGGAGAGGACTCCCCCAAAGTTACCGTCTATCTGAGTTCACACTCCAAGCAGGCCCAGACCTCAGGCTCCTAGGGTCCTTGGCCTCAGTGGCAGGTACCATCTTCCCCAAATCCTTCCTGTTGCACAGTGGGAAACCTGAGAGGAGAAAGCTGGGGGGCTGCTCACCCACTTGTCCCAGGGATTCCAGGCCCACCTGCCTGCAGCCAGCCTCGCTGTGGTGTGCGTCCCACTCCTGGTCAGACGGTGTTCACGTCCCCAAAGGTTACTGCCTCTTCCCCACCAGGCCGGGTGTGTGTGGGGCTGAGCGGCGCGCCCCTCCCGGCACTGGGAGGTCATGGTCTGTTCCTGGCTACTGCTGCTTAAATCTTTTTCCTTTTTCTTTCTTTTTTCTTGATAAACCTTTTACAATTAAAAGATAACAAAAGCATGATTCTTTCTGTTTGGATGTCGGAAGGGATGAAGTGGCCTGGGAGTTTTTGGGCCAGATTCTGAGATCACGATGGGCAGAAATTTTACCACAGAACCTCAGAAGTTGGGGGTGCAAAAAGTTGGAGGTGGCTGCACCGCAGGGAGGTGCCCCCTGGCAGGAGGAGCTGGCGGTGGCCCTGCCCACACTCCTCCCCAGGCCTCGCTCCCCTCGTCTCTGACCGAGGAAGTGCAGCTTGGGCTGCTCCAGGACTGAGGAAGGGACAGGCGGCTGTGCCGGGACAGTCTCAGGACGGGGGCTCCTCTGCCCGGGGCCATGTGCTGGAAAGCCCTGGTCCAGGGCAGGGGACTCAGGAACCGCCTTCCCCCAAGCTGTCCTGGTGTGCAGCCGCCGCGGGCCCTTGGCGGCCCTGGCCAGGGTGAACGGGCCTGCTCACCCCCAGAAGAGAGGACAGTGCCGGCTGGCGTGCGTCGTGGAGGAAAGGCCTCCAGGGCTCCTGGTCAGGGAAAAGCATTCTTGGAGGAACTTATGGAATGGGTCCCCTGGCTCTGGGTCAACATTAGGTCAGATTTGGGACTTTCTGAGGAATTTTCCCCACCCTCCACCCCTCCCTCCTTCCTTCATTTTCCAACCCATCCGGGGAACTTCTCACCCATAACCTCTTCTGAGCTCCCGCCTCCATGAGGCCTTCTGCTGAGGGGCTCTGAGCACGGGGTGGGGGCTTCTTCCCAGGCCATTCTGGGCAGGGCTGCCGGGAATGCCCCTCAGCCCACAGTGCCTGGAGAGTCCCCTGCTTGTGCTTCCTGCCCTGGGAACAGTGTTGCCCTCCTGTGTCCCTTTCTTGAGAGGGAGCCACCCCCACAGCTCTCATCCGCAGGGTGAGGCAGTTGGTCCCACACTTTTCTCTCGGGGCTTGGATCTAGGAGAAGAATGAGAAAGTGAATCTTGGGATGGGGCCAGGCCTGCTCTGGGCACTCTGAGGCCTCCGGGCTGGGGCAGGTGTGTGTGTGGGGGGGGGCGTGAGAACGTCACGCCTCTCTGCCCTCCCATTTCTTTCTATCTCTGTGTGGGTTGGAGTGTCGGGAGAGTTTGGGATCGTCTGGGCTGGCTGAGCCTCTCTCAGGAAGGGACTGGCGGCCCAGTGTGAGGGCATCTTGGTGGTGGCAGGGCCTGCTGGCTGGCCTCATCACATGCCAGGCAGATGTTCAGACTGAGCTGGGCCCAGCTGCCTCCAGTTCCCTCCCTCACTTTGCTCAGAGGGAGGTGGAAAACAAGGCTTCTCTTTCTGCCCTGGGCAGCTACCAGGACCTGGGGGTGGGGGACCCCTGGTCCTCAATCTTGGCGCAACCTGGGAGAAGGAGTCTGCTTTGTGGCCGCAGGTGGGGGCTGGGGATGGAGGCAGACCCCAGGTCCGCGTCCCATCACCCCTGGACACGGGGCTGTGAGCTGCTGCGCCATGGCTGTGCCGCTGGCTGGGGCAGAGCCAGGCCTGGGGAAGACGGGTGGCCGAGTGGCCCCAGCTCAGCACCAGCACCCGTCTGGCGACAGGCTACATGTCGTCCACACACCCACAGGACAGCCCCAGAGACACAACCGCACATGGTTCACAGGCGTGTAGGCCACACTTGCATGCTCGTGTGCTCACACAGTTGCACCCCAGCCACCCTGCCACCCATTATGACACATTCACGGCCACACCAGCCACTTCCACACGTGTCACCATCCATTCACAGCATCAGTTTCAGCTGCTTTGTCACACGGCCATGCCACAGTCCTATGCACATGGTCATGGCCATACATTCAGGCCTATATAGGCACAAAGTCACACATGTACATAGCAAAAGTGTCACAAGTTTGTCTGTGCCTGGACCACACCTGCACCATCTCCCAGGCCCCCAGACCAGCTCATGAGAGACCCAGGAGGAGAGCTTTGGGGATAAGCAGCCCTGGGAGGAGTGTCCCCAAGGGGGAGTATGGCAAGTCACAAGTACCACATGCAGGCACAGCCCCTGAGAGGTCTGGATGTGCAGTCGGGATGATCAGAAACGTCCAAGTTCAACTCCATTGCACAGATGTGACCTGAGGCCCTGTGAGCAGTGGTAGCCGGCCACACCACACCACCCAGAGGGCCGGGGGTACTTCGGGGCCAGAGCCGAGCTCTGAGCAGGTTCTGTAGCCCGGCCTGCCCACTCCGGAGCCAATCCCCAGGGCCAGGCTGCCTCTGAAGGCCCCTGGTGAACCCACCCAGCAAAGCTCCAGATACCGGCGGTCTGTGAAGCCAGGCCGAGCTGCAGCGTCCTCAGCGGCAGGGCCCGGGCCTGGGCGGGAGGGACATTCCTGCACCGTCTCCTCCCCAAGCATGTGAGGACTGGGCCCGCCCTGCCCGCTGACTCAGGCCTCTGGGAGCCAAGCCTGCCCAGCTCCCCTGCCCACCCCAACCTGCTTCCCCCCCGTCCTGCCCCGGCCGAGGCAGGAGGAGACAGGGAGCCCAGGCAAGAAGACCAGGGGCAAAAATCAAACCTTGCCTCCCCCAGACAGCTCAGAAAGGCTGATTGTGAAACCCAGCTCTGGGGTTCAACACAGTTTAACACAGACCCTTTTTCTTTTGGTTTGGTTTTGTTAGTCAAACCCCATGGCAGTGCAGTCTTTAGAAAGCAGTGATCACACAGCTATCACACAGCTGTGGTCTGTGCAGCAGCCCTGGCAGGCACCATTAATCCATGTCGCACACAGACTGAGACTCGGCCCAAGGGGAGATGGGACCTGCCCAGGGTCACACAGTGAGGCTCTGGCAGGGCTGGATTTGAATCCGGCTCTCTGCTTTCACTCCTTAAAGTCATTTGACTCATTTGGGCCCAAAGGGAGAGGCAGCCGCAGAGCTCCACTCCAGAGGTGTGAAGAATAGGCGGCTGCGGCCCCCAAGTGCTGATGTGCGAGGGCATTGCGGGGTGGGTGAGCCCCCAGCCCACAGAGACTGCAGAGCTTGAACACAGCATTGCAAGGCTGGTGCAGTGACTCAGGGGCTCCATTTACAGAGGAATGTGTGAGGAGCATGACTTCACTTTCCTGTATCTGACCCGAGCTTCTCTTTTGCTCCTCCTTTTCCCGGTTGACAGAAAAGTAATCTCAAATTACTTTGGGGACCCATCCTTTCCCCAGGAATGCATACACGTTTTGAGGATGACACATTTGAAGACCCTGGGCAGGCCCCCAGCACTTTGAATTTTAGAGGCTGAATCCCACAACCCCGCACACGTGTTAAAATTTGTGTGCATTCTGCATTAAAGGGTTTAGTTTATGACTTGACAATGTAGCTCTTGTCTTATAGATATTTAATTAAACTTATTAATTTTGATTTTGCCTTTTTCTTTTCCTTTTTTGCCTTTTCTTTTGGTGCTTTGCTCCTCTGCGCTCCCACCCGCTGCAAATGTCGTTATGGGCTGGTTCCTGTAGGGCTTCTAGACCCTGGCATTGGGCCTGG